ATATATATATAATAATAATAAAATAAAAATTTAAGTATTCATGCTACAGAACTGTCAAATACACTCCCAAGGAGAAAGCTTTTGTAATTTCAACTCAATTTTTCTAAAACCAGCCCTGCCCACACAATGTACCAGCTCTGCAAGGCTGCCTAAACCACAGAGGGCTGCTTTGCTTCCTGGTAAAAGCCAGCAGAAACAGTACCTGGCCAGAGGGGAACGGAAAGCCGCAGCTGGTGTGGGGAAGTCCATGGTCCTCGTCTCAAGAACCGGCTTTCCTGGTATAAACTTTAGGCTGTTGGGATTTGGGGTGTCTTGTGTTTGAATAAACATGAATCGTACTGAAAAAGAGAAAGCGTGTTATGCTAGGAAAAATAGTTATGGTCGGCGAAGTGCTTTTATTTTAAAGATTGATTTTTATTTTTTATTTTATATGTCTGAATGTCTTGCCTGCATTTGTGTATGTGTACCAGGTGCCAGCAGCATTGAGGTAACCATCATCAGGTCCTCTAGAACGCAGTCATGGATGGCTGTAAGCTACCACAAGGATGCTAGGAATCAAACCTAGCCCTTCTGCAAGAGTAGCAAGTGCTCTAACCACTGAGCGATCCCTCTAGCTCCCGGAAGTGCTCAATTTTTAGAGAAATGGAAGTAAGAAACACTGGGAAAAACAACCTCACAAGCTTTATAACCCAAGCTGACCAGAGAGATTAGAAAAAGTTAAAATGCTTGAACCTGAAGGTCAAGCACTTCATTGAGATGCCCCGCCTCCAATCAAGGAAAGTCTCCTTTTACAGGGAACAGTACTGAAATAAAACTTAAAGCAAAGACTGTCACTACCTTCCATTCTGAAACAGTCATTTTCTGTAGGTTTATTTGTTTGTTTGTTTCTTTGTTAGAGACAGGGTCTTCTATCTAGTCTTGGCTGGCTTGGAACTCACTATGTAGACCAGGTTGGCCTCAAACTCATAGTGATCTGCCTGCCTCTGCCCACAGTGTTGGGATTGAAAGTGTGTACTACTAAACCTGGCTTAGTATTTTATCGTCTTAATAATTTCCTGGTAACTAAGATCACAGTACTCACTGGGCATCTCACTGAATCTGAAGGACTAAATCTGTCTTTACCCTACTCAGTACACTGGGTAATCTGGATCTACATAAAAGGGGGTTTTAGAAATACCCGAGGGTGAAAGTGTTAGTCAAAACAAAATCTCATGTGAAAGCTAGAATCCAGCAGACATAGTAGCCCAGGGCCTGCAGGGCTGGCTGGAGGCTGAGGAAGAGGAGCCCGAGTTCACCACAGTCTCAGCAGTGTGCAGCAGACTCCAGGACAGCCTAGGACAGTTAGCAAGAGCCTCTAAAAACAAAACAACAACAACAAAACAACAACAAAAAACCAAACCTAACAGCCCACACAATCTATTTACACTGGGGGAGAAAAATTAAGAAACCTACGGTATCACCACACAGGTTTTCTCTCTTAACATAAATAAGCTGCCTCAAAGACTAATCTGAATTGATATTCAACCAAATCATTCCGATTATATTCTAAATTAAGTTTAATTAGGTATTTTTAAAACAACTCCACATACAAACAAGTAACATTATATGAACTTAACAGGTTATATTTAGGAATATATGAAATACACATATTCATACTATAACACCTGTTGAAAAAAGGGGGCCATGAATTTGAAGCAGAGTGGGGAGAGGTATATAGAGGGTTTATAGAGAAGAAAGGGAAAGGCAAAACATTGCTATTAAAGTACAATCTCAAAAGTTAACACTCAATCAGCTCCTAGCTCTAACATCCAACCAGACACTTCTGGAAGTGTCCCGAGTTAGGGCAGGATAGGACAAAGTGAGACATTTTCCCTTTGGGAGTGACACTATACAGGTCCCTAAGTGGGCAGGCACCGGCTCCTGCAGAACACAGACAAGAACTGAACGTCACTGTCAAAGACTGAAACACCACAAAGTGCACTTCCACAGAAGTTAGCCAGTTAAAGTAGGCTGACCTACTGAGTTCTCAGTATTTACATCCAAGGCGTTTTGTGATTTGAGGAAACATTCCTCATCTCCAGACTGCAGAAAAGACTTCTTCCAGAGTCAAGTCATGCCCCTAGCCACCGGCTACCTCACCCCAGAACAGGGGTGAAGGGTTAATCCTCGACCACATCAAGCCATGCACACCACCCCTCTCCAAGCTCCCCGATGCTGCAACGACCACATTCAAGTTACATTCAAATCAGATGCTAGAAGGTTTGATTAAAGGCAGGAATTCACTGCTGGACAGCTATTCCTATAGAAATAGAAAAAGCAGTACCTTCAAATACGCATGATTCTCCCAAACACAAACCCACTTGGAACTTCTTTCTTATAATATTTCATTTTAGACATCATTTATTGAGCAACTCATGATCTAAAAATGTATTTACAAGACACTGAGATTTCACAAGTTCACAGCTACTGCCCTCTGACTAATCATAGTAAAGTACGGTTGTACCACAGGGAGGCGGTGAGGATGGACAGGAAATCACTGGGTCCTTTTTCTAAACCTCTGAATAGGCTTGGAACATTGACAAATTCTTGGGCAGTTGAGATGGCTCAGGGGGTAAAAGCGTTTGCTACCAAGGCAAAGGCCTGAGCGCCGCAATCCCCAGAACCCACACGGTAGGAGAGATCCAGCTTAAGCAAGCTGTCCTCTGACCTCCACACATGCAGTGTGGCACGCTCACACACATACAAATACATTTTAAATTTGTTAAAGAAAACTTTAGAATGTAGTATTTTATGAGCATTAACACTCCCTGTACCTGTGTTACACAAGGGTGCACGAATCGGGAAAAGTGGTCTCTGTACATATTGATGCAGAGGTTGTTTCTTACAGGTGTGTGGAGCCACCACGTGACAGAACCTACATTTGAAACAAACAAAGAGTACGTGGTAAGGAATGGAATCTGTTTTCTCTGTAACCCAGATAGCCTCATGAACATCTGTGACACTCTGCCTCTGCTCCCCTAGTACTGGAATCATAGACATGAGCATCACACCCAGCAAGAGGGATGATCTTTTAACACCAATTTATATTTCTCTTGTATATAATAAAGGCCTTGGAGGGATGGGTCAACAGTTAAGTGCACTCATTGCTCTTGTAGAAGGTTTGGGTTTGGCTCCCAGCACCTTCATGGTAGTTCAGAATCATCTGCAACTGCAGTTCCAAGGGCATCGGGCATGCATGTGGCACACATACATAAATTCAGGCAAAACACTGATATGCGTAAAATAAAAACTTTGGTAAAACCACATGGAAACCCATTTGGTTGGTAACTGGAAGTATACACTAACATCCAGGCATCAGAATCAGAAACCTACAACGAAGCAACTGAAATCCGCAGGCCGAGAGCCTTAGCCACAGATCGCTTTGGACTCCCTCTTCCTTCCTTCCTTTTGTTTTCTTTTTGTGGTTTTTTGAGACAGGGTTTCTCTGTGTAGCCTTGGCTTTCCTGGAACTCCCTTGTAGAACAGGCTGGCTTCATAACTCACAGATATCTGCCTGACTCTGTCTGCCTAGTGCTGGGACTAAAGATGTGTGCCACTACCACCTGGCTTACTTTGTCTTTTAGAAGTTTAAAAACTAGGTAGTAGAGTCACATGGCTGAAAACAGCTAAGGGGGAAATATATATATATGAGAAAAGCTTTCCCTTGTCTGTCTCACAGCTGTCACCTGGAGAGAACTAGCCCACTGGTCTCCTGGAGGAAAGGCTGAGAGTGCAGCTCATGGGACAGTGCTTGCCTAGAATTTGCAAAGCCCTTGGTTTGAGAGTCCATGATTTGGGAAGAAAAAATAGTAAAAAATGAGCATCCCTAAGCAAAACCCTGAAATGTTATAAGCTTCAACTCATCTCATACCTGACCTGCCAAATCCACTAAAAACAATGCATACAATTTCCATGATGGGTAAGGTGCATATGAAGAAACAAATTTTGTGCTTAGACATGGATTCTGTCCCCATGGTATCTCAGATATGTTCAAATATCCCAAAATTTAAAGTCAGAAACTCTAATGAAATATTTAGGATAAAGGATACTTGCTTCATTCCAACATTTCAAAGTCTAAAGTCTAACAGAACACACATGATTGCCAAGAGCAGCCAACTACATAGTAACTACCTTTTAAATGAATGGAGTGAATACTCCAGGATTTGGAAACACTCTAATATTCCAGTACTACTGTTCCTTCAACCCTGGGAAAAACCAGCAAGTGTGGATAGCACTTCAAACCTCTAGCAGGAAGGTTTGAAGTCTAAACGATCCTGAGTAAAGTTAACTAAAGTCATCGAAAACGGGTGGGAAGGGGCAACCCACAAAATCCTTCTGTTAATCTATTTTTATGAGATGCATTTAGGAGTTTTAAAATGGGGGAGGAGGGTGTGGTCTCATAAATAGTCCAGGCTGGTCTTGAACTCCTGGTCTTCACCTCTCAAGTACTGAGATGACAGGTGTGGGTTTCCCATGTCCGCCTGATGAAATGCATTTGAAACTTCAAGGTAGCCATCAGCATTCTGTCAGGCCCCTTTCTACAGGAGTCACACGCGGGTCTGACAGATATCTGCAGGAGTAGCTCTAGAAGAGGAACAGGACTCGCACAGGCCTAGGCAGTGGATTCCCTCGAGTCGCTTCCCTCCGAGCTGTGACCTCCCGGGAAAGGGAACGACGTGACCGACCCGGGGACCGCTCTTCCATTCAGAGCCACATCCCCAAGAGATTTACAAGGGACGTCCGTGGAAGGTGGCTGGCCTCGGGCTTTGGAACCAGGGCAAGACTCTGTCAGACGCCAGCTCCCGCCCCGTGAGAAGACGACAGGGATTTGCTGGCCCGGGAGCCGATACCTACCGCCTGCACAGCCGGGCTACACCGACCGCTGCTCCCCACGCCCGCTCGGCTGCCGCCATCACTTCCGAGCCAGTGCGCTTGCGCGGACCCGCCTCCTTCATGTCCGACGCAGACTCGGGCCCTGCAGAGAGGGCGATCAGGGGAAGCCTGTTCACTACAGGTTGAGGGTGGTGCTGCAGGTGACCTTCCCCCCTCCTTTTACTAAAAGTAGATTTTTTTTTCACATAATATATCCAGATTATAGTTTCCCTTCCCTCTACTTCCCCAAGTTTTCCCAAACCTCCCCTCAGAATTCACCCCCTTTCTGATATGATAGGATATACAAAAACTAACACATCAGAATAGGACGAAACAAACATAAGGAAAAGAGCCCAAGAAAAGGCACAAGAAATACTTATAAATGCAGAGACACACTTGTTCACATACTCAAGAATCCCATGAAAATACAAAACTAGAAGACATCATATATATGCAAGGGACCTACAGGGCAAAAGCAGGGAGGAAGAGATGAAAGGAGGGATAGAGAAAAAAATTTTAAATATGTGTATAAATAATATAAAAAACAAAAACAATGCAATACAAACAAAAACGTGTAATTAAATAAATACACAAAAGTCCTGGCTTAGCATTATGAGACAAGGGACCTTCAAAAGATGCCACTGAGTTGGTTGGCCATTTTACAGCTGGACATGTGGCCTACACTTAGGAATAGTTTGCCTCCCCAGTGAGATTCCCTTGGAGAAAACTAGATTTTCATTTGCAAGGAGTTATCAACTTGAGATGGCTTAGAAACAGACATATGCCTGCTTTCTTCTTTCAGCTCTGGAACTGACCCCATCTGATGCTGGGCCCGCCTTGTTTCCTTGGCTTCCTTGGAGTCCTCATCTCCTCTGGCTCTTATATCCTTTCTGCCTTTCAGGTTCCTTGAGCCCTGAGGGGAGAGAGTTGATGGAGAGAGCTATTTAGGGCTGAAGTGTTTCAAGGTCTGTCACTCTCTGCATATTGTTTAGCAGTTAGTGGAATATTTAGGGTCATTTTTATTGCTACATTCTTTTAGGAGTAGTTCTTGGTTTTACCCTAGGTCCCTTGCATATCTAGCCTCAGATTCTTAGTTACCCAAGCACTGTCAGGCATCAGCTTGGTCTCCTGGAGTGGGCCTTCAGTCAAGTCAGATACTGGCTGGTCACTCCCACAAGCTTCGTGCCAGCATTGCACTAACATATTTTGCAGACAGGACATCATTGTAGATCAAAGGGTTTGTGGCTAGGTTGGTACTTACATTTCTCATTTGGTAGCATGCAGAGTATCTTCCTGTACCAAAGATGCCAGCATGTAGGGATGAAGGCTCTAGGTGGGCATGGACTTAACTTCTCCATGTTCAATGAGTTGTGTGGATATTGTCTTCAGCAGTAGGGCCTTCCCATCAGTGTGTGGAGAACATTCTATCCTATGGTCTTGGCAACAGCCTGAGTTGTTTGTGGGTTCCTATGGGACCCCTTTGGCCAAAAATTCAATTAGATGTAGCCCATTTTGGATACTGGAAACTATTTGGTGACAGGAGATATTCAGCTGGGACTCTGTCTTTCCCATTATTTGGTGATGTCATTTAGATTGCCTTCATCTATTTTAGGAAGCTTCTACTGTATTATGTTTCCATACAAGCTCAAATAGCCCTTAATTTTACCTCTCTCTCTGTATTCCCTCCCAACTTGATCCTCCTGTTCCAGAAATCCACCTGCCTCCGCCTCCCTAGTGCTGGGAAAAATGGACACCATGCCCTGCAAGAACATTGATATTTATATTTAGTATCTACAATGTGTGACATGTATTTTACTACTCAAGTGATTCTAGCATTAAACTCAAAAGTTCTTCCAGTGTAGATTTTGGGTCCCGCTTTGTTACTGTTTGGCACTAGTGGAAGATGTTTCTCTGGTCATCCTGTGTCTACTTCAGGCCCTAGAATCCATGCTTATCCTGAGAGGACTGACTCCCTTGAGAATGGTGCCTAGAAACCAAGACACGGGAGTTGGAGAGAGCTCGGTTGGTGCAGTGCCTACCACAAGAAGGGCCTGAATTTGGATCCCCAGCAACCTTGTCAAAAATCAGCTTACCTGTAAGCCCAGTGAGGAGCTTGCTGAATTAGTGACTTTCAGGTTCAGGGAGAGATTTAGTTTCATATCTTAAGAAATATGGTAACAAATTATAGAGGAAGACCCTTGTGATGGCTATTCCTACTGTTAACTTGACTGTATCTGAAATGAACTACAATCCAGAAATGCAGGGCACACCTGTGATCCAGATCTTGAGGCTGGAAGACACACACTTTTGACCCAGATCTTGAGGCATAGTGGCCATGAAAAGCTTAGGCCCAGGCAAGGTGGTACACGCCTTTAATCCCAGAAGACAGAGGCAAGGAGATCTCTGAATTTAAGGCCTGTCAGGGACAGAGCAAGTTCCAAGTAAAGAACTTAGGTCCAGGCATGGTGGTACACACCTTTAATCTGGGCCACACCCTCTGCTGGAGGCCTACTTAAGGACATTGGAAGAAGGAAGGCGTTCTTCTCCACCTGCTTGCACTCACTTGCCAGCACATCTGTTAGAGCCTACTTCTTCAGGATTCCAGCTTATGCAGAAGACCAGCCTTGTGGGTCTGAGCAGCTACTAGGTTCTTGGACTTCCCATTCACAGCTGCCCATTGTTGGGTTAGTTGGACTGCAGACTGAAAGTCATTTCAATAATTTCCTTTAATATAGAGACAGTTCATAAGTTCAGTGACGCTAGAGGACCCTGATTAAGACAACACCCTACACTGACCTCTGTCTTACAAACACAAGCACATCTGTGCACATGACACACAAGAAGACATAAGTAAAAAACAAACCAAGAGCAGCGTGCCTGCGTGTTCCTTGTCCACTCCTTCCATTCTACCCTGTGCTCTCCCTGCAAAAGTGAAAAAGGAAGTTCAAATCCCCAAAGGCCATGTAAATGCCACTGGCTGATACAGCCTGCAGTCTGCGGAGACAGAGAATCCACCAAGGAAGCTGGCTAGCCATATCAGCTGGCTCTGGGTTTAATTGACAGACCTTGACACAATGAACAATGAAGTGATGTTATGGTTCAAAAATCGAAAACAAGCCAAGCAGGCACAAGAGTCCAGCAAAGCAAGATTTTTATTTGAATTAGGCAGCAAAAACTGACCAGTCAGAAACAACAACATAGACTGGGGAGTTGACTAAATCTTTGAACGTTCATCTTAGTAAGCAGATAACAAAAAACATTTTTGTACTCAGGCCACTATTGATCAATCAGGGCCACAGAACTAAGGAGCTGAATTGCAACCCTGAGCCAGATTGTTAAGAGTTTTAAAGCCTCGGGCTGGTGAGATGGCTCAGCGGTTAAGAGCACTGACTGCTCTTCTAGAGGTCATGAGTTCAAATCCCAGCAACCACATGGTGGCTCACAACCCTCTGCAATGAGATCTGATGCCCTCATATGGGTGTCTGGAGACAGCTACAGTGTACTCACATATAATAAATAAATAAATAAATAAATAATCTAAAAAAAATAGTTTTAAAGCCTCAAAACCACAACCATCTGTGCCAAGTTATCTCACCAATCAGGAATTAGGGATAGGGGACTTCCTTAGGAACATGTCTTTGTGGTACACCTGTTTCCATTGGTTGGGTTATTCAACTGGGGCAAGGCAACTCGCCTAACATAACTGACAACCAGGAAGTCAGTAACCCACGTACATGTCTCTGCCAAGCAGAATGTCAGTTACCCAGGGAGGTCTTGAGAACTTCAATTTTATTTGACCCCTATTCAAAATGGAGGTTTTATTCAAAATGGCTTCAGTTTGGTTCCTTCTTACAGTAGAAGAGCAACCAGGGTTCTCTACACACAAGTGTGCTGAAATAGATACACACACACACACACACACACACACACACAAGGGGGTGTGAATTCTCATCTTATCTGGTAAATGCTTTAGCACATATGGTAACATCTCCAGGATCTTTTTGTTTGTTTGTTTGTTTTGGGGTTTTGTGTGTGTGTGTGTTTTGTATAATGTGTATAGGTGTTTTCTCTTCATGAGTGTCAGTAAGCCAGTGCATAGAGTGACCAAGGAGGCTGGAAGGAGACACCATCTCTGTCTTAGTGTTTCTATTCCTGCACAAACATCATGACCAAGCAGCAAGTTGGGGAGGAAAGGATTTATTCAGCTTACACTTCTACATTGCTCTTCATCACCAGAGAAAGTCAGGACTGGAACTCAAGCAGGTCAGAAAGCAGGAGCTGATGCAGAGGCCATGGAGGGATGTTACTTAATGGCTTGCTTCTTCTGGCTTGCTCAGCTTGCTTTCTTATAGAAGCCAGGACTACCAGCCCAGGGATGGCACCACCCACAATGGGCCCTCCCACCCTTGAGCACTAATTGAGAAAATGCCTTACAGCCTGGTCTCATGGAGGCATTTCCTGAAGGGAGGCTCTTTTCTCTGTGATAACTCTATCTTGTGTCAAGTTGACATACAAAGCCAGCCAGTACAGTAACTCCCATGATAGTGGAGTTATAGATGTTTGCAAGCCACCATGTTGGCAGTGAACACTGAGCCCAGGCCCTCTGCAAGAACAGTTAGTGCTTAACTGTGGAGCCATCTCTCTAGCCCCACCATCCAAGGTTCTAGGGATTAGGACACTAGCATGTGGGTAAACTATGAAGCAACTCCATTAAGCTCATCTAAATCTTAATCCCTTTCCCATTGAACGGATGTTTGGCTCCTACAGTTTTCCTTCAGACATTATTTCCTATATTCTGTGGAGATATCAGCCAATTTTTGATTCGCTGCAAATTTTACAAATGATGGGGCAGCAGCAGACATTCTCGATCTTAGAACAAAGCAGGTTGAGACAGGAGAATAGCCTATGTATTTGAGTGCATAGCCCTGGCTGTCCTGGAACTCACTCTGTAGACCAGGCTGGCCTCAAACTCAGAAATCTGCCTGCCTCTGCCTCCCAAGTGCTGGGATTAAAGCGCCATCACTGCCCAGCAGTGATTTTTTTTTATTTTTTGAGACAGGGTTTCTCTGTGTAGTCCTGGCTGTCCTGGAAC